AGGTAGGCAGATATATATTGTTAGGTGTCTTGCCAAGAACAAAAACATGTAAGGTAGTCTGACCAGAATTTAAACCTAGGTTTCCCAGTTCTAAGGCAATAACACTGCCAACCAACTTTAACTCAAATTTACTATTTGAAAATATTCTAAAACCCGTCCTCTCTGCTTATTATATTCATCTGTCCTCCTGTCACTTATGAGGTAGTCAGCTACAAAAGTAAACAACAATAATGAATGTTTATTTTTAAAATAAATAAATAAATGATTGCAGTGGAGGGGAGGTGTGGAAAGCCACCATTTTCCCTGAGTAAGGCTCGCTAAACCGTCCAGTTCAGATATTTAGCACTTCGACCTCTCAATATTGCGTACACCAGTGTTATCACTGTTATTTTGCTCTGCCATATTTCCTCATTTTTTACGGATTTAAGTGCCGTGTGAAAATCACTGCTGTAAGGAACAAGGTCTATCTACCTATTCAGTAATTCCTTAAATCACTTCAACCAAAGAATGGACCAAACCCAACCTTTCTCTTTAAGTATTACAGAGTAATCTTTCTTGGTGTTTAAAAATATTGGAAATACTTTACTAAAGTGAGAATTCAAATAGAATTTTACATTTAAGGATACAAGAACTGACATGGAAACAAAATTCCCTGAGTAAACTATGCTTCCAGTTTAGCTACCTTGGTATTAAATTTGAAATTCACTTTGAATTCTCAATTTAGTAAATAACCCTGTCGATATAATAGATCATAATAAATTTCATATATTGTGACTCATCATTTGTAATAATTAAATGGCGCTAATAAAATTATGCAATCCCTTTACTACATCACTCCCAGAATCGAATATAAGCATTTTGTATATGTATTTTGTGCAACAAAATCTACACAAAGGTTCACTCACTCACCCTCATGTACACTCTAGGATTATTTAAGAGCCTGTGGAAGAACACATTTCTCTGCCAGAAGACCCTATTTTAATGCCTACAAGTATGGTCACTAATTTAAGGCCTGCAGGTATGCTGGAAATGTAAGCTCAGGAAGGAAAGAAGTTTCAATAGAACTCACCATTCCTACAGTCTTGTAGAGAAGAGTGAATGAACTCTGCCATTTAACTTTTAGCATTGCATTACATGAGTATTCCAGGGATTGATGAAGATTGCTATAGCAATATCAGTACCTTTATTTTAGATATATATTAAGTAACTGGATTTATGACCAAATGCAGACATTTATTTGACATTTGTTGCTAGCTGTATTGCTAGAAATTATTCTAGGATCCTAGAAAATACTTAAAGCGAGAAATTTAAACATTTGAATATATCCAGGGCTCGAGTCCTGCAGGAACGCATGGGAACGGCGTTCCTGCACTTTTTCCAAAGCAGGAACGCCGTTCCCGTTACCTGTCCTGCAGGACCGGCCCTGGTCCCTGCACTGAGGGGCCGTCACATGCTGTGTTCCTTCTCCAGCTATAACTCTCGCGAGACCCGCGGCTGTTACCATGGCAACGCTCCGCACAGGCGAGTCTCGCGAGAGTTAGAGCTGGAGAGGGAACACAGCGTGTGATGGCCCCTCTGTGCAGCGGCTGGCTCCCTCCAGCATACCACCGGACCACCAGGCGATCTCCCCCCTCCCTGACAAGGTAAGAAGCAGGGAGGGGGGAATAAAATAAAAAAATATAGACACATAAAGTTAAAAAAAATGCTCCCCCCCACACCCATCATCCAGCACTCACACACCCATCATCCAGCACACACACACCCATCATCCAGCACACACACACCCATCATCCAGCACTCACACACCATCATCCAGCACACACACACCCATCATCCAGCACACACACACCCATCATCCAGCACTCACTCACACACCCATCATCCAGCACTCACTCACACACCCATCATCCAGCACTCACTCACACATCATCCAGCACACACACATCCATCATCCAGCACACACACACCCATCATCCAGCACTCACACACCCATCATCCAGCACACACACACCCATCATCCAGCACTCACACACCCATCATCCAGCACACACACACACATCATCCAGCACACACACACACACATCATCCAGCACTCACTCACACATCATCCAGCACTCACACATCATCCAGCACTCACACAAACACCCATCATCCAGCACCTCACACACACATCATCCAGCACTCACACACACACATCATCCAGCACCTCACACACATCATCCAGCACTCACACACACACATCATCCAGCACTCACACACACATCATCCAGCACACACACACATCATCCAGCACACACACACACACACACATCATCCAGCACACACACACACATCATCCAGCACTCACACACATCATCCAGCACTCACACACACATCATCCAGCACTCACACACACATCATCCAGCACACACACACACATCATCCAGCACCTCACACACATCATCCAGCACTCACACACATCATCCAGCACACACACACACATCATCCAGCACACACACACACACACACACACACACATCATCCAGCACACACACACACATCATCCAGCACTCACACACACGTCATCCAGCGCGCACACGCTCACCCTGCATTCATTATACACACTCTTCACTCACTACAAACACACTACATTCACTATACACCCTCTGCATTCACTATACACACTCTGCACTCACTACACACTGCATTCACTACAAACACACTGCATTCAGTGTACACACTCTGCACTCACTAAAAACACACTGCATTCATTATACACACTCTGCATTCACTACAAACACACTACATTCATTATACACACCCTGCACTGCACTATATGCATAGGAGTGTAATTTTTTTTTTTTTTTAAAGGGGGGGGACGGCGGGAATCTTGGGTGAGTTCCCACACTTTTTTCCCCAGGACTTGACCCCTGAATATATCTGTTTTTGGCACACCTACTCTATGTGAGAAACATTGCATTTCTGGTTTTATACCAACATTTCAGACCAACTGTAAAATATTGCACAATAAAGGATGCTTTCTAAAGATTTCTCCACCCCCCTCCCCCCATTTTTATTTTTTATAGAGCCTGAATAAGTGAAACAAATAAAGCTTGTGTAAGTGTAATTTTTTCATTTTTAATTTTGTCTGAAAAGCAATCTATACAAAAACATGTTGCATATTAAGTTTGTATGCCAGCTATGCACTCCATGCTTATAGTAAATTGTATGATAACAGTATCCCTTTAAGGTTCCATTTCCTTTCCTCATCATCCCCACACACCATCAACACCTATGTATGTTATTCACGATGACATTTTACTTTCATTACATTAGATGAACTAAAATTTTAAATTTTTATTTTAAGTCAGTATTCACTACAGTCTTTAGTGGTTATTTTACTTTTAGGCTATAGTAACTTCCGCCGGTTATTGTGTCAAAAATATATATTTTTTTTAATTATAGGCATCTCTAGGAGGCTATGGTCCAGCTCTGCATCAAATTTAAACTTCCGCATTAGTAATATGTTAAGTATGGCAGCTGACGCTCTCAGCCTATCACTGCCAAGTAAAGGAAATCAAGGTATTAATGGCTTGGTGCTAAAACCGTACACCTTTAACTCTGTTAACTGAATAGTATTTAGCTTTACTACTAATATTTCTAGCAAGTCAATAGGACTTTTTTGTTTTATCCAATGTGCAATTATAAATTGTATTTCTCAGTTGTTTCCATCATGTCCTTTTCTTTATCTGATCTTGTTAAAGAGGCCAAATGATCAAAGTGTGAACACCGATTATCCAGCAATGAGGACAATTGGGGAGTGCATTCAAAATTGACTGTCAACATTTTTTTTTAAAGGAGTTCTTCTAGTGACAGTTTGCCAGCTGCAGGCACCATGTTTTAGCCAAAATGTAAATATTGTCAAAACAGTAATGTTTTGCATTGCCAGAAAAAAGGCACAGCATCTATGCACCAAAATAACCACTTTAAAATGCAGTGGGTTTGGTGCTTTGAATGTCCATTTAAATTTAAAGGGACTCTCCAGTGCCAGGAAAACAATCCGTTTTCCTGGCACTGCAGGTCCCCTCTCTCTCCCACCACCCATCCCCGGTTGCTGAAGTGGTGAAAACCCCTTCAGTTACTTACCTGAGACCTCCGCCGATGTCCACGCATGCGCATTAGAGCTCTCACATGAAAGCATTGAAAATGCTTTCCTATAGGGAATTAAGCGTCGCTGAAGGTCCTCACAAAGCGTGGAAGTGCCCTTTAGTGGCTGTCTAGTAGACAGCCACTAGAGGAGGAGTTAACCTGCAAGGTAATTATTGCAGTTTATGTAAACTGCACTAATTACACTTGCAGGGTTAAGGGTAGTGGGAGTTGGCACCCAGACCACTCCAATCGGCAGAAGTTGTCTGGGTGCCTGGAGTGTCCCTTTAAAGAGTCTATGAACACACAAATGTATTATTGTATTTTCTTTCTTTCCATGCACATTTGGCACTTATTCCACTAAACAGAACAAACAAGTGACTTTTACCATCACTGAAGGGTCAAACTGCCTGAGCAATTCCGTTTGAACACATTCCATTACAAATATAAACATACACACCCACACTATACATGAGGATTTAGCCCATGTTTTTACCAAGACCAACCTTTAACAAATGTATTATATAAGAATTCCTATCCAACCCCGTGTATATTGAGGCACCTAGTACTCCAGCAAGCATGTTCCATTCAATATTGGAAAGCACATCATCCAGCAACTTCCGCGTTCCACCGCACACTTCACCCTGAGGACCCCGAGCAAAGCTGTCTGCACAGCTGCCTGCTCAAATGACAGTCGCTTCGCAATATCTCATGTCAATGATTTTTGCATTGTTGTGATTATGAAATAATGCTATTAACGGTAATGATGTCTATACTGTCCGGAGAGGGCGTTGTACGTTATATGTCAGTTATTTTGCCTCGGGCATGTACTTAGACAGCCCCTTTCCGGTCTCCGTGAGTGGTTGTCATGGTAACGGCAGTTGCTATATTTCCTCAAGGTGTGCGATGCGTCAGACGCTTTTTATTGCGTTAAGGTAAATTATCTGAATAGTCATTTTTATTGTGAAATGCGTCACAAATTTTATATATTAAAGTAGCTTAGGGCAAAGTGTTGTTCAATTTTCCCTTCTATCTTTTATTTAGTTACAGAATATTAATTCTATGGTTTTTATATTCATAGTGCACCTATAGGAATGCATGATTCCCTGATATCTGTGTGAGTAGATGTAAATATTACACATTGAGCAGGAATGGATACACACAATAAAGGAAATGACAAAGGTTAGTTTATCAAAATCAAATAAACCTATCTATAGATATTTGGCTGCCTGCCTGCAAATTAACATGTGAATGTGATGCTTTTTTGAAATAAATAAATAAAAGATGGTAAAATATCTTAAAATGCCCTTTTGGAACAAAACATGCTTCACAAAACCAAATTTTATAAGGGACTTGGAAAGTTCATTTAAAGCGGCACTGTCATGCCAAACTTACCTTTCCCCAATCTCTTCCTCTTCAACCCCTCTGTCAGGATCTGTTCTTCTTTAGTTTTCTTTAAAATCATAAGACAAAGTAGGGGCTCTTTGCCTTATGGAGGTTTCGACCAGCTTTGACCAGCGGAGGAGCAAAGTGTGCTTCATTTCCGCTGGTCAGAGCAATTTTTCCATGATCCTTAGCTTTCCTCCCTGTTCCCACGATGCTTCCTGTCAGTATTGCCGAACGTCCTGTCACTTAGACAGAACGCCGGCAAAACCGCCGAATTGCATCCTAACATAATGAGAACAGTTTCTCCATTCGTTTTAGGATGCAATTCGGGACATTGTTCGGATCGCAATTTCATTCGAATGAATGAAACTCCGATCCTATTCGTGCCGTGGCTGCATCTTGCAGTCGCTTAGTAGATAACTCCCTAATTCCCACGGTATTAGGGAGCTATCTACTAAAAGGCTGAAAGACCTAAATTGGTCTTTCAGCCAACTTTACTAATACTAAGTAAAGGTTACTAAGTATTAGTAAATTCAGCCCCTACTCGCTATACCGTGAGTAGGGGCATGTCTACTAAAAAAAACAACCTACTAACCTATTGTCCTCCCCCTCGGGTGGGGCCCTAAATGACAATGGGGGGGACCTATTGTCCTCCCCCCCGGCCCCCACCCCTTAGCGGTGGGTGGGTGCCCTAAAAAACAATAAGGGGGGGACCTACTGTCCTCCCCCCTGGCCTCCACCCCTGAGCGGTGGGTGCACAAAAAAATAATAAGGGGGGACACCTACTGTCCTCCCCCCCAGCCCCCACCCCTAAGCGGTGGGTGGGGGCCCTATATAAGAATGGTGGGAGGGGGACCTACTGTCCTCCCCCCTGGCCCCCACCCTTGAGCAGTGGGTGGGGGCCCTAAAAAACAATAAGGGGGGTCCTACTGTCCTCCCTCCCTGGCCCCCACCACTGAGCGGTGGGTGAGAGCCCTAAAAAACAAGGGCGGGGACCTACTGTCCTCCCCCTGGCCCCCACCCCTGAGTGGTGGGTGGGGGCCCTATATTAGAATGGTGGGGGGGGAACCTACTGTCCTCCCCCCCTGGCCCCCACCCCTGAGCAGTGGGTGGGGGCCTAAAAAACAATAAGGGGGGAACAGTACCCCCCCCGGCCCCCACACCTGAGCGGTGGGTGGAGGCCCTAAAAATCAATAAGGAGGAGACCTACTGTCCTCCCCCCTGGCCCCCACCCCTAAACGGTGGATGGGGGCCCTAAAAAAAAAAAACAATAAGGGGGCCTACTGTCCCCCCGGCCCCCACCCATGAGCGGCGGGTAGGTGGCCCTAAATAAAAATTCACACACCCCCCAATCAAGGTGACTAGAGGTCCTTAGCCCCTAGTCACCCCCCCCAACCCAAATAAAACTATCCCCTATCTACCACCCTCACCCTAAAAATAGTGAGGGGGGAATAAAATAACTAACCTGTGAACAAAAATTAAACTTACCATTTGACGTCTTCTTTTTTTTTAAATCTTAATTTTTCACCCCCAAAAAAGGCCAAATAAAAAGCCATCATACCTGTCGAACTTAAAATAAAATAAAAAACCTGAGTGCAAAAAAAAAATCCAGATGAACAAGAAAAAAACAGACGCTAATAAAATTAATCCATCTTCACCCATGGAGGGCTCTGCAGGGTGGGGCAAGGCTTATTAAGCCTTGCCCCGCCCTGAAATTAGGCTAAGAACACTCTGAATTCCAAAGAACTTTCCCACGCTGTGTAAAATGACACAGAGCACTGTGATTGGATGGATTTCAAGCCACCCAATCAGAGTGCTCTGTGTCATTTTGAAAAATAATAATGACGGTCTTGATATGCAGGAGAAATAAGACTTCATACAGCAAAAGCGTTCTGTATTAATTACCACTATTTTTTGCTTTCAGCTTTTAAGGACAGCATGAGTTACAAAGCCCTGAAGTGTGGCATACGCTTCAAGCCACCTGCCATTATTCTCCTATATGAGGATGTGTCAACAGGAAAATCTCGCCAACGCAGTATGCCAATAAGAAACTTTTCAAAATTTTCAGGTATGGACTGGTTTTTTTTTTCTTCAGGTTTATCTAATAATTGACATGTCAATTGGAATACACCAGCATTGGAAAAAATATCCAACCAAGCTATTTATCCAATTCCTGTGTCAGTTCCTTACAATTATCAGTTTAGCTCGAGCCAGATATAGGTTGCGTAGGGCCCAAGGTGTGGTGCCTGATTGCGCTCCCTCCTAGTTTCTCTGTTGCTTTGAGTGGTTTGTGTGTGCTGACCAAGTGTTGTATGTGTGTGGGCCTGGCAAGAGAGAGAGACTCTCTAGTTAAAGGACCACTACAACTTAAAGGGACACTTTAGGCACCCAGACCACTTCACCTCACTGTGTTCCTTTTGCACGTAGTGCTGCAATGTTAAAAATTGCCATTTCAGAGAACTGCAAAGTTTACATTGCAGCTCTAAGTCTGCCCTCAGTGGCTGTCTATCAGACAGCAACTAGAGGGCTTCCGGAATCGTAACTGACTTTTGGTCCGTTGTCTGACACTGGACATTCTTGCGCTCTACACGAGGACCTCCAACGTCAGATTTTTCCCGTAGGAAAGCATTGATTCAAGGCTTTCCTATGGGGAGATCTAATGTGCGCGCTGCATTTGCCGCACATGCGCTTTAAAGCGGAGCTTCAACCCAGCGACGAGGGACACTGGCACTGGGATCAGGTAAGTAAATAAAGTGTTATTAACCCTTTATTTACCAGGTAGGTCGGGACACCAGAGAGGGGGGATGCAGAGGAATTGGTAGTGCCAGGAATACTGCTTTGTATTCCTGGCACTACAGTATCCCTTTAGGCGCAGATGTATGGGTCAACAATTTATTGATAGGTGTAGGGGCATATTTTTTTTAAAAATCTTTACATTTACAAGACATCTTATTGTGCAATGTATAGATTAATTTGTACTTTATTTATATCTAAAGTTATAAATATGACATTATTGTGATTGATTGCTAATTTGCTCCACTGGATTTTTTATCATTAACTCTAGATTTTCTTTTTCTTTAGACTGTAGCCGAGCAGCAGAACAGCTGAAAAATAATCCTCGCCACAAGCAGTATTTAGAAAATGTGTCACCAAAACAGCTGGAGAGGCTTTATATATTGTTAAAGGGACATTTAAACGGGGAAAACCTTCAGGTAAGTCTGGAGGGAATTCGAAGAGATGAAACTTTAGACCCAGAGGAAGATTTGAACAAGCTGGATGACAAGGAGTTGGCTAAAAGGAAAAGTATAATGGATGACCTCTTTGAGAAGAATAGGAAGAAAAAGGATGACCCAGATTTTGAGTACAATGTAGAAGTGGATTTTCCTCAGGATGGGCCTATAGAGAGCTGTGGCTGGGATGAAGAATCGGAGAATGAATTCTAATCAATACACCGGTCATTGCAGACAATTTTTCAGGGATATGAAACAACTTGATATAAACTTTTACTTAAAAATTTAGTTAATTCAAGGGGCGCATATTTTAACAGCATTATGAATATAATGCATTACAAATATACTTTTTAAAAAGGAAAAAGTAAATCTCTGAATGTCAGTTTTTGCATGATTTCCCATGGATCGGATTGTTACACAGCTCTTGCAATGTAATCCAATTAGCCAATTTGTAAGCCAATCCCTAGACTGCTATCAAACTGAATGGAAAAGATGAGTGAGCATAAAAGCTTTTATGACATCAGCCATGCTCATGCTCTGTAATAGAATACCAAGCAGCAGCGCAACTACCACCTCATGCTCAGGGGGCCCATTGCACTTAGGGCCACCTGATCAGTATTGCTAAAATGGGGCCCAGTCAGGTCTTCGGCCCTTTATCAGCTCGATCACATCAGCAGCAAGGGAGGAAGTCAGTGCAGGTAACTTCCTCCGAACTACATAGAGAGAGAACCAAGTGGGAGGAGGAGACAGCACAGGCAGAACCCCAGGCACCCACCCTCCTGTACACAAAAGGTATGCTAACAGGAGGATGGCTGACAATATAACACTTATGGCATGTATGTATCTGTGTCAGTTTGTGTGCATCTGTGTGTAAAGGTATTTGTATGTGTCAGTGTATGTATCTGTGTGTCAAGGTGTGTGCATATCTTTGTAAGCACCCACACCAAAGAACTCACCCCTGCAATCAAGCAGAAATATTACATACAAACACACCCCTGTATTAAAACACTAAAATTATATACAAATACTCCTGGATTTAAACACCAACACTACACACAAAAGCCCACCTACATTTAAAATCCAATACTTCATACAAACACACCCCTGCATTTAAAAGCTAACACTACACACAAGTACATCACTGCATTCCAATGACAAAAAAAAAATACAAATACACCCGTACATACACACAGATACTCTATACAAAAACATGCTTACATTTAAAGCACAAACATTGCTCACAAATACTACCCTTCAAGGATGGGCAAATGGTAGATCCCCAGCTGGCATAACATTGTGGGAATTGTATGGCAGATGGGGATCTACCTCCTGCACTGATGCAATGCAGTTCCCACAAGACTGCTACATTTTGCCTTCTTGCAATTTTTAGTGTGTGGTGTTTTGCATAAGTCAATAAAATAGTTTTAAAATGTTGACCACTGAAAAAAATACACTACATTACCTCTTTACTGTGAGTAGGCACAGTAATACTAAGCAATATAAACTATACTTCTACAAGCTGTATTTGAGTAACCATGTATGGCTTCGTAAAACAAATATTTCAAATGAAATGGTTGTGCAAGTTCAGGATTAAAACCAACTGACACATCCCAGCAAAGTTACATATTATTCTGTACACAGCAGTTATAGTCATCCAAGGAGATTACATAGTACTAATATTCAAAGACAGAACAAAGATGACAGATCATGTTTCTTCAATCAGTGAATGAAAACAATGACCTTAACATTCTTTTGATTTTTGAGCTTGAAATGAATGCATGGGAAAACCTGTCGTATTCATTTAAATTATACTTTTTTTTCTAGTTTCTTGTTATTATTATAATAACATATGTTAACACTGTAGATCTAATATCAGATTCCACACATTATGGTGTAACTGTAGCCAATAATTTTTATTTAATGTGACGATTCAGTTACAGACTACCTTTCAGGTTATGTTGAATTTGGTAACAACATTCTGCCTATCAGGCATGTCTTCCTACCTCACTAGTAAATTATTATTTCATGAAGATTTTGTTCATATGAATAAATTATGTATTTATACTTTTTTGCCAAACTAGTTATCCTCTGGAAATATCCTTTTTTTTCTTTGGATCAACAAAAACATGGCAGTATAATCCTGGCATAAGCTATGTAGTGTCACTTTGCTTTCTTACTTATAGATGTCAAGTGATTGATGTAATTGGGTGCATTGTCTGCACTTTCTTTTCCCTTAACTGGATGACCAGTTGTAATTACTTCTGTGGTTTTATATTCTATTGTATGCTTTAAAAACACTATTTCTCTAATCCTTAATCATGTATTTTTGTTTTGTTTCTAATGCATATACAGTTCAAAATTGTAGAAGCACACTTCTTATTGTAAGTGAAACTGATACCAAAAATGTGTGCTTATTTATTTATATATACATATATACATATATATGTGTGCATGTGTAAATATACATTTTTTTCCTTATGTTAACATACACATGTTTTTGTTTTGTACACAGTTTGCAACATTTCATTTGTTTGTAACTGTTATAAAACACAAATTAAATATTTAAACCAAAATGTATTTTGTCTTGTAGTTCATCACATCAAAAATTAATTACACATGTGCTAATAATATACTTTTCTAGTGACATCTACAGGTCCTATTATGTAAACTGCAATGATACTTATGGTAATGCAACGATAAATGGTAAATGGTGATATTTAGTAAAGTACAATGTAAACTTGTTGAGTTTATATTGTTAAATGTAAATACTAAACAGCAGCTTGTTAACTTACAATCTTTGAGATATGTGGAAAGACACTATTTATTTTACCCCACTGGACCCTAAGGACTCCATGCCAGCACTCCTAAAGGTAGGGGGGCTGGGTGGAGTAAAATGTAAAAAAAAATAAAAATAAAATTGTATGTGTCTGTTAGAGAGTTTGTATGTGTTTGTGTGTCTGTCAAAGAGTATATGTGTGTTTGTCAGAGAGTGTATGTGTTTGTCAGTGAGAATGTATCTGTTCTTGTCAGTGAGAGTGTATATGTGTTTGTATGTGTGTCTGTAAAAGAGTATGTGTCTTTGTCAGTGAAAGTGTATGTGTATCTGTCAAAGAGTATGTGTGTTTATCAGTGAGAGTGTATGTGTGTCTGTCAAAGAGTATGTGAGTCTGAGAGTGTCAGTGTGTGTATCTGTTTGTCAAGGTTTGTGTATGTGTATCTAAGTGTGTGTGTGTGTATGTGCCAGTGTGTATCAGTGTGTTTGTATGTGCCTGTGTGTGTGTGTGTGTGTGTGTGTGTATCTGAGTGTGTCAGTGTGTGTATGTGCTAGTGTGTATCTGTGGGTGCAAGTGTGTGTATATGTCACTGTGTGTATCTGAGTGTGTGTGCATTTGTGAGTCCAGATGTGTGTGTCAGTGTGTATCTGAGTGTGTGTATCTGTGTGTCAAGGTGTGTGTCAGTGTGTATCTGTGTGCCACTATTTGCCAGTGTGTGTATCTTTGTGTCAGATACATACACACACACACACACAGATACACACACTGGCTACAGCTGCAAAGTGGGGACCAACTATATATTAATATTGAAGTATTTAGAATGCAATGTCATAAAAGTCCCTGTTGGTGTAATGGTCAGGTGTCCCAATACTTTTTTTCCATATAGTGTATCTTGAATTGACCTTTCAATACTGGATTCATGATTCCATGGATGCATGTCCATGTTTACATTAGCAGGGTTATTTACTATAAGGCCAGAGCATACATACACATAACCAATTGTTACCCTAGCTCTTTATTTCTTTATTTTCTAAATGCCGAGATGCAGAAAATAATTTTTACATTATTGTTTCCCTGACTCACAGCATACTTTGCTCTTTTGCAACAATGTGCACATAGTTTCTCTAGGGCTTTTGCATGTGAAGCTGAAGGTGGGTGACAGGCCGATAAAGGGTGTGGGGGAGAGGGGAGGCTGAGAAACACCCCTGGCCAGACAAAGCAAGCTGACCCTATTTATAGAAGTTTATTATATACTTTGCTATTTTTCTTTTATATTAGTTTGTATATTTGTGCAAAGGTGTTTTTTGCTGATTTAAAAAATATTGTCAAACTATGAATGTCATGAATGCTGGAGAAATGAGGGTAAAATTAGTCACCTGGGTAGACAGTCAATATAGAGGAAGCATACAGAGAAGAGGAGATATTAAATAATATTTCTATTTCTCTTTTTCATTTGATCTTTAATATACATTTAAAAGAAAATGGAGCGTTCTATGAATAAAAAAATTGCTACAGGTTACAGGTGCTTTTGTATGCAAAAAAATGGGGGATGATCTGCTAAATCAAAGTAAACAAGATAACATAGCGTATAACTGTGTATTAAAGTGAACCACAGATATGTTTACAAATGCCCACTCACTCATTCACAGATGTAAAACAGCCTTGAACATAAATTCCTTCTTAGGATTCAACTCAATTCTTCCATCAGTATTCCCCCATAGATGGGCTAGGATGTATGAGCTCAGAGAGAAATAGAATAAAATTGAAGTACACTATCCAGAGTATGTAAAAAAGGAATTTAATAACTTACATTTAAGCATAAAACAATCTGTATCACCACCAGGCGACCTATGCGTTTCATCCAATGCTAGGCCTTCCTCAGGGTCTTCAGTGGTGAATAGCAGCAAAGATCAAATTAACAATAACAAAAAGGTGCTTTTCACAGTTTTTTGTTTTTTCAATGGTGTAAATATCAGAGCAGTGTCAACTCCCCTTTATTGTAATTACAGCAAAATATTTACAAAACACATTATTAGTTAAAACACCCAAAGCATACAACTTGCGGTACAACTACATAAATATGCATGGTTGGTACTGATGCGACGGTTCACCAAAACAGTTAGAGGGCTATTCAGTAGCGTGTGGATTTTCTGATTTTGAATTAAATTCAAACTAAGTTTGAATTTTTTCCAAACTTTTTTCCTTTTTGGATTGTTAGGTCTGAAATTTAAAATTCACTTTAAATTACTTCTTAAGCGTTTGCAATATTTAAAGGGACCCTATAGGCACCCTGACCACTTAATCTCAGTCAGAGGCTGATTACCCATAGGGCGGCATAGGCAGCTGCTTACGTATTGAGCTAAGCAGTGTGGGATCAATCTCTGAGCCGGCTTGGTCATCAAAATATCTTCCTGCACAGCTTTCTGCCTGCTGGCGGATCTAAGCGGGAAAGCACCAGAGCACAGGATGGGTGTAGCAAATCATGCGGGGGGGACAGGTTATGGGGAAATCCCCCCCAGCCCCGCCGGCCCCCCCCATGCTGCAGCCGCCCGAGCGCTCTGTAGAGAGCCTCAGGCGGCTGCAGCTTTGCCCGGGCGGTGCATCCATGAGGGCGGACCGCACCGCCCGGGCGCAGCATGTAGCGTGGCCGAGCCCAGTATAGTCCGCGGGTACAGGGAGCATCTGTCTCCTGTACCCGGCCGGACTAACAGGAAGTGCACACTGAGTGTGCGCTTCCTGTTAGTCCGTCCGGGTACAGGAAACAAAAGCTCCCTGTACCCGCGGACTATACTGGGCTCGGCCACGCTACAACTGAGGTGGGGGGGGGGAAGAGTGACAAGGTGTGGGGGAGAAAGTGACAAGGGAGGGAGGGGGAGAAAGAGTGACAAGGGATTTTCTGATTTTGAATTAAAATCAAACTAAGTTTGAATTTTTTCCAAACTTTTTTCCTTTTTGGATTGTTAGGTCTGAAATTTAAAATTCACTTTAAATTACTTCTTAAGCGTTTGCAATATTAAAAGGGACCCTATAGGCACCCTGACCACTTAATCTCAGTCAGAGGCTGATTACCCATAGGGCGGCATAGGCAGCTGCTTACGTATTGAGCTAAGCAGTGTGGGATCAATCTCTGAGCCGGCTGGGTCAAAATATCTTCCTGCACAGCTTTCTGCCTGCTGGCGGATCTAAGCGGGAAAGCACCAGAGCACAGGATGGGCGTAGGAACCGGGGGGGAATTGGGGGGACGCATCCCCCCCAGCAAATCATGCGGGGGGGACAGGTTATGGGGAAATCCCCCCCAGCTCCGCCGGCCCCCCCATACTGAGTGTGCACTTCCTGTTAGTCCGGCCGGGTACAGGAAACAAAAGCTCCCTGTACCCGCGGACTATACTGGGCTCTGCCACGCTACAACTGAGGTAGGGGAGGGGGGGGGAGAGTGACGAGGTAG